GCTCAGGCAATCCACTCACCTCAGCCTCCCAAAGGCGCGGGATTACAGGCTGAGCCACTGAGTCCGGCTATTTATTATTTTTTAAATAGAGATGAAGTCTCACTGGTCTCGAAGTCCTGGGCTCAAGCAATCCTCCCACCTCAGCCTCCCAAAGAGCTAGGATGACAGGTGTGAGCTACCGCATCCTCCTATCAGTTGGTTTTTGAATAAGGAAACAGTGGAACAGAGGGCTGAGTGATTTGCCCAGGCATATATCATCCCAAAGAATCAAAAGGAATGGACATTCAAACTTTTGGTAGGTATTGCCAAATCATCTTGCAAAACCATATGCCAATTCACACTCACTCCACCAGTGCATGAGAATGTCTGTGCCTACACGGAGCCAGTGACTGCTCTGCTGCTCTAACATGTTTGCCAGTCTATTAAATGAGACCACTGTCATCTTACATTCATAAAATCTTTTTTTGTTGTTTTGAGTTGGAGTCTCACTCTGTGGCCCAGGCTGGAGTGAAGTGGCACACTCACAGCCACCACAGCCTTGACTTGCGGGGTTCAGGCGATCCTTCCGCCTCGGCCTTCCAAATAGCTGGAGCTACAGGTATGTGCCACCATGCCCGGCTACATTCATAAAATCTTGATTTCAATTTTACAAAAAACTATATTACTACAAAAACTTTTTTTTACAGAAAACGCAATAGAGAAGAGGATTTAAATCCCAAGGGCTTCACAATTGGAATTGCTAAAATAATTTAGGGAATCTTCCCCCCTTCTGGAAGTAAAATATATACACGTGATTCTTTTTCTTTTCTTTGCTTTAGAGATGGAGATCTCACTATGTTGCCCAGGCTGCTGTTGAACTCCAGACCTCAAGGGATCCTCCTGCCTTACATATACTTTTTATTTTTTTTTTAGTTGAAATCTCACTCCGTCGCCCAGGCTGGAATACAATGGCATGCTCAGGGCCACCCCAGCATTGACCTGCTGGGCTCCGGTGATCCTTCTGCCTCAGTTTTCCCAGTAACCTGAACTACAGGTGCACACTGCTACATCCGGCTAATTTTTTTTATTTACTGTAGTGATGAGGTCTCGCCAAGTTGCCCAGGCTGGTCTTGAACCTGTGAGCTCAGGCAATCCACTCACCTTGGCCCCCCAAAGTGCTGACATTACAGGCTTGAGCCACTGTGCCTGGCCTACGCAGTTTTTTTTTCTTTTTTTTAGACTAGCCATGTGTAGTAGTGAGAAAGGGGGGAAAGACAAAACAAGGCGGTCAACCTGTAACTGACTGAATAACCAACTGAGGTACCTCGTTACCTTCAGACCGGTGACACATGGACCGTCTGCTTCTTTTACCTGTACAAGGAGTGATGGATCAACATACCTTTCCCCCCCTTGTGCTGGAGAGCAGCAGGCTGTACCAGTTGGTTTTCAGTTATGTTCTGCCGAGATTGGTGGATATTTCCTTCAAAATAGAAGTCCGCAGCACTGTTCTGTATAAAGAATGCAGCAGGATGTTAAGTGGGCCTTTCCCTGTGGCCCCCATTAAAGGCTAAAGCCCAAGGCCAGGGGTGACAGGAGGCTAAGCATCCCTCAAATTCTAAAAGGTATTACTCCCCACTGCGGCCAGATAGCTCCCGGGGCAGAACTACCATCAAACCCACGTGAAGAGAGGACCAAGGGACAGAGGTCATCTTTGGTTTTATGAGGAGTGTCATGTCCTCCTCTCCTTGAGAGAAAAGGGAAGGGGTTGCTTCCTGTCTTCTCTCTAAATATGCCCGGTGAGAAAGAAAGATCCAGAAGAGTCATTAGTAAAACCTGTGGTTGTCAGCAAAAAGGGAAGAAGGGCTTCCTTTCCTGTGTTGGATCCCATCTGGGTGAGAGGAGCTAAGAAGAGAAAGATGGCAGCCAAGGAAAGGTAGAGGTGAGGGGGGGT